AATATGCCTGAAGGTTTTCACGGCATTGTTTCTCAGCTCAGTTTGAAGCTGCACTTTGAGCGGTTTCTCTGAAATGACTTTGGTTAAACAGCTTTCAGGGGGTGAGGTGCTTATTAATGCAGCAGAAAGGAGCGTGGTGTTAAGTGGTTTTCATTTTCAATTGCCATTAAAATCCCCTTTAACACCAAGCAAGTGCACATGTGATTTAGTCGGAGTAGAGATAATCACAGCTTAATAAATGAAAAACAAATGATTAATCTTCCATTTAAGAATGAACAAAAAGGTAACACAGTAATAATCCTAAAGGCTGTGTTTGGAACGACTTGGCACTGTTGCTCAGCTCCCTAATGCAGTTACTCCTCCATCAGAAACCTACTATCTTGACACTTGACTGACACTGATGTCCACATGTGATCCCCCTATGAATTTCGCATCACTCTCTTTCTCCACAGGGAACAGATCTGGAGTCAGAAGTGACAACTAATCTGCGCTTGAGCTGAAAAGCTGAAAATGCAGTAGAAAAGAGCCGGTCCTACAAAGAGTGAGAACGCACTCCCACACACTGCCAGCCGCCTCAGCTTCCGAGAGTTTACGGACTGCGTGTTGACAAGAGCTCGAGAAGATACTGTTTGTAGACTTTAAAGGAATCGTGTCGTGGAGAATAGTGCAGATGGTGCGGCAGCACCGTCTTCTCTGTCAGCCCCACTTCAAAAAGTAAGCCTATGATGTGGCTTTTTTTCCTTCTCTTATATTCAGTTCCTGAGCATTAGAAATACATGAGCTTTTAGGCATTTAATATTTTACAGTGTAAGCAAACCATGGTAGTATCAAAGTATTTTCCTGATTCTGATGCTCCCCTTCTCCCTTATAACCCCTGAGGCACCGTGTATTTGTGTTGTGAGTCACAGAGACGAGTGTGCGCTGCTTTTTTTTTGGCTCAGCATTTCAATTATTTCATTATTTCTGTGGATACAGAGGTAGATGCAGAGCAATTTTGTCCATTACAGTTTCCTCTCAGGATAAGCAAAGCTTGGATCCAGTGATTAAATTGACAAATTCTTTACCTATGTACCGTGCACCTTTTTATTCCCCCAATGAATATAACACTCAGCACTTTGAAGGCAGTGTGAACTGCTAAAAATGGTGAAAATCCTTTAAAATTGTGTTTATTATATAAAAACAGCAAATACAGAGCAACCAGGATTCACCTGAATTCTTTCTTAGTAATTCATTGATGCTTATTCAAACAACGCAATCAGTAAATATTTCACAAAAAACAACCGTCATAAACTAAAGTCAGTACTTATCAGGTATAATTCAGTTCTTTAATGTGGGGTTTGTCACAATGAAGCCAAAATATATTCACTGACTAATTCAAACACCATCCTCCTTGCAGAGAAGAAAACTGTTTTGCTTAACATGCAATATAACATGGGAGGCTCTTCCAATGCATCGATATGATTACATATCTCATCTAAATGAGGAGAAATCCAATATGTTCTCATTCCTGAACCCAATCTTAAAAAGCAGAGTAGGGTGAAAGTGAGGTCACATGAATGCATGAGAAAGAGGAGTTTTTATTTGTTGAAAATCAGCGTGAGGCATCTCAGGGTTCAAAGCAACCTTTTCTTAAGTCCAGAACACTCCCACATCTGATATCTCATACAGTAGAAACCCACACATCCTGAGAAGTCATATTCAACTGAACGTGTCCGGGGTTCTTAACTTGGTGTTGGGGGCGGCTGGCATCTATTTCTCCTGTTACATCCCATAAAGAGATGGACTTACACAGAATCAATCGTGTAAACCAAAAGATCGTTTTTACTGAGAAAAGCCTGCTTACACAAGGAGAAATTAGTCAATTTAATCATGTTTATTACTTTGGTATTCATTTTCTGAGTTACAGTGTAGTTTTAACAAGGAAAAGTTTTCCTTTTCTTTTGTCTAACAACTGGATTTTAAGTGGATGGTCTTTTCCAACACGGATTGCTTCAGTCACTCAAATAATTGAATAGACGTTTTAAATTGGCAACAAACTCAACAAAAGGAGAAAGTAGAGGAGAGACAAACAGAAAAGCAGCTGTAAAGTACATAAAAAGTAGAGGAATATGGAACAGTAGGAGACATGTAAACATCATGAAATGGAGGTGGGCAACATTCGGTAACATTATGAATCCCACTGACTGCTGATGAGCCAGTTAAACATGGTAGAATGACAGAACTGTAAGGCACAATGAGGCAGACAAAAAAATGGGACTACATCAGCCGCTTTTTACGTAAGTGGAAGAGCTGTGACAGAGAATTCAAGGACAAAATGTGTGTCTTGTAAGTGAAACTCAGAACTGCCTTTGTTAAACCCCCGCAGACTGAAACTCAGTCCTCGGGCGTTGAGTTGGAGAATGTAAAGATGTGCACAGAGTATTTGATTTTAAAAAGTGAAGCATAGCGTTTGATGTGTAAATTGTGATATAGAAAATGAAGATGGAAGAGTGGGGTTTCAGATCTCTGACAGACAAATGAGACATAAGAGTCAGACGATAAGATCATGACACCAACATGTGACCAGACCCTGGTTTAAGATTTGCCCAAATAAGGAGTGAAATTAGGCTTTCGGCAGATTTTTCTCAGGCATACTTCATATCTCAGAGGATACGGAGGATGTGGATTTACTTTGAAAGCTATCCCGGATAAGGACCAATTACACGTCAACGTTCACATTTCCTCTCCTGAATGCATCCCCACATCCCATGACAGATGTCTTGTGCATGTTTGAGCCATGTCTTCATTGTCCCTTTTTGCTTTGCTTTGTAACAGCGATTAAATGCAATGAAGAAAAGTATCATTTAACCTGATTTTCAGTTTTTTCCCCTTTTTCAGTGAGTTATTCAGCCAACTTTAGGGCTGCTCAGACAAGTATTTAAATGACTGACATTTACTCATAGTGAATACATTTATATTTAGTGCATTAGTCATATCTTAAAAAGAATATGGATCCCAAAAGTTAGCAGTGCACTTAATAGTATTAATTAAGTAAATGTTTAGCCATTTAATCTCATATTCTTAGATAGTTATTGTTATTGTTATTTTGTACCAGTTGTTGATGTAGGATGTAGACAAAGATAAAACAGTCGTCAGTTCATCTGACTACATTTTAGCTATGATGGACCCTGTAAAATGGCCGCCAAATGTACAACAACAATAAATGTGTCAGCGGCACAGAGGTTTTGCACGGATGTTATCTTTTTCCGTGATTTCTGAGGTTCATTTTAACCCTCAAGGTGCAATTTTGTTTTGTGTCTTGGCCTCCCACAGCCCCGTGTTTATATCACAACCTGTCAGGGTTGGCATCCAATTTAACCAATTAAGCTAACCAACCTCCCTCTCAGTGTTTCCCACAAATAAAAAAATCCAATCACAGCTGTTGCTGAAGCGTGACAACCAGAGGCTGAGTGTTTGACTTAAAGAAGGAGGAAAAGTTTGTTCTTATAAGTCCCATTTAAAGTGATGGATTGAATTTTCTCAAAAGCCGAACCATCCTAAGATTAAGCTGTTTCCTCTATTTAATGTTAGAGCAACATTAAAGGCAGACTAAAGTCAACCTGAGACCTGATCAAGGTTCACATCATGACCACAGACAGTTTTACACACCCACAGTTGATCTACCTGCTGATCTGCCAAGTTCACTCTGTCTCAGAGTAACGTCCACCATGTAGCCGATCCGTTTATCTCCCACCCACGTTTGTATTCTGCTCTAAAAGTTTATCTCCTTCAAACAGCTCATCTGGGCCTGCTTTATCTCATCTATTCTTCCTGTGATTTGCAGAAGTGTCTGTTGTAGTGGCCTTTGCATCCCAGCTACAAACAAAGGAAGCAGAAATTGTCTTGAGGAGTAATTTTCAATTCAAGATATTCACTAATGCCCATGAGTGACTTTAAAATAGAAGCTGACTACATTAGAGTGCAGTTCAGGTATTTAAAACTGTGACGCGACAGCTAAGAAAAGCATTCCTGCCTCTGTGATTACAGGGCTTATCACTTGCTGGATTATAAGAAATGTTTTTAAATGCAGCATCTATTGTTGAACTTAGGCTCCAGTTTTAATACCCTAAAAAAGCATCGGAATTACTCAACTGATCAAAGCTATGTAGGACATCTGAAACCAAAATCCGTGTCAAACCGTGTAAGATTTGATCCTGGCTTTGCACAGCCAGCAGGAGTCATATAACAGAACGCGTTCTGGTGCAGTAAAGTTAAAACACAATATAGCGCTGTAGCGCGATATATCAAGTCACCCTACGACCCGGAGAGCTGCACTGCCACCAGCAAACAAAAACTCCCCTGAGCTGAACCCCCAACCGTAAATTCAGAGAGGCACTCTGAAGGTCCTCTTTTTTTACACATTTTTACTGCTGTTTCACAGACGCATGTTTCAAAACTTAACATGGAAAGTTGACAGTTTCAAATTACACACACATATATATATATATAACTGTATATCTATATGGCAGTTATATGTAATAAGTCTTTCCACTGTCAGAACCCATTAAAGGCAGCACCTGATTGCACCTTTAGGGGTCTACAGACTTGTCTCTGGAGTGGTACCCCTGTTGTACCCCTGCTGTGCCTTTGTAGTTTGTACCTTTTACTACTTGAGGACAGTGTACCTTTCTGGGCCTCAAAAAGTCTAAACATGTGCCTTGGGGTCCAGTTTTTAGCCATACAGAGTACGTAAGTCAAGAACATACCTCTGGAGAGATGAATGTACTCCTATTGTGCCCCTTATTTTTGACAGTGAAGGACACACCTGAATCTTTTAACCTTTATGTTCGGTTTCCAGTCTAATTTTGCATGTCTGTATTTCATTTCAACAGACTTGAATTTCCTTCACTCTCTGTTCTTTCTCGTTGTGGAGATTAGAAAGTCGGTTCGACGAACGTTAGGCATAAATATTCCTTTGTGTCATAAATACTGGGCCTGAATGTCAGCAGTAGAGTTTTGAAAAAAAACAGCTGAGTGCGTGTCAAATCAATCCTCCACCGCACTGAAAAGGTGCATATACCAAGAACAAAAGAAGAGATGATATGGGTCCCAATCCCGTATTTCCTGTTATTCAGTCTGCCTCAGCATCATATTCACGTTGAATGTTTTCAGAAGGGAGATGATAATAGAGATTTAATAGGATTGTAATGCACTGGTAGATCAAATAATTCATGATTAATATTTATTAGGAATGGCATGCATAGGAACTCATTCTGAAAAGATGTCAGGCAGTGAATGCAGCCAGCATTATTCATAACACTTGAGCAGCATAAATGTTGACACAAATGTGTTTATTTTGCAGGAGTTGGACGATCTGGGCATTCTCTCGGCACCTTCTTTTTTTATTTTGTATGGGAAAGGAATATTTGAAGATTACAGAGTAATCATTCAAAGATGCAGAGTTACAAGAAACCCTACAGCGCCGATGATTTACCAAAATGATTAAGCCATGCTAGCCTGCTCCCTCTTTTTTTTCTATCTCCAATCTCTTGATTTTTCTCTATCCCCGCTCTGACCGTTTTGTTTTGCATCGTCTTTTTCACATGTGGAATCCATAAATCTAAAATATGATCCATGGACGTGCTGTGTAGGATAAGCTGTGGGCCACAATTATCTTTTCCTTGCCATCAGTGAAGTGGATTTCCGAATACATCAGCAGCTCCTTCGGCCAGTTTAAATCCAGTTTTCCAGATTTCTCAGCTCTATCCCTCTGTGTGGGTCTTAGTGGCACGATGGGATCCAAAGGTCTTGCGAAAGCTGCTTTCCATCACTCTTTCTGCCTCCCTGTCTGTTCTTTATGCAAATTGATCCAGCCTTGGTTTCCAGTATTTGATTGGGGGGTTGTTGTCTGTACTGTACTGTGCCCGAGGCGGCTGGCTGTCTGGCTCGTACATAACCCCACATCTCTGCTCCACTCCCCACCACAGATCACTGAAACATAGTTTGCAGCACCAGATTGTTCACATGTGGGTTAATGCTTTCAATTTGGTCATGCGTGGACAAATAAAGAGTGGTGTACAAAAGAGCTGTAAGGAGGTCTTCATGTTTTTGCATCATTCTCCGATTCAAAGGGAAAAATGAGCAGCAACGAGGTGAAAAAAAATGTTGAGAAAATGTGTTTCTGCTATTGGCTGTGGTGCCTGCTTAATCCAGAGAATCACTGCTCAATATGTTCCATTAATCCCTACGCCTCTCTGTACCACTTCAATCTCACACCGCATCTATCTTGTTTTTAAAGGGCTGACCCAAATACTCCAGTGTTCAAGAGACTCACTGCTGAAGCTCTTGGGATTCAAAAAGTCATCCATTCTTTAGCACTACTCAGTCTGGCCATCTCTCCCTCACTCACACAAAAAAAGAAATAACACGCACACAAAGCTGCATACATCGAAAACTTGTGAACATTTATAGCCGAAAAGAGTGTATGTACCCCCTCCTTGTAAAAAAGAATCCATATCAAACTGGGAAAAGTAACAATCTCCGTGTTTTAAATTTTTCATTTTATACTTCAGGTTCCACTTAAAGTGCACTGACTCCACTTTCCTGTGTCAGGGGGATTGAAGTGGAACTAGACACAAAAAGGGATTAGTGGGCAGCAGTTGAATTGACTTTTGGATGTGAATATATTGCGGAGCTGAGGACACTGCACAGATGTGTCCCTCATTTCCGGTCTGACAAAGATCCAAGATCAGTGACTTGCGCCAAACTAGAGCTAGAAAGAAGGAAAGAAAGAAAGAAGGACGAGAACCTGTCAAATATTGCATTTAAAAATGTGACAGCACAGCGTTTACATGTAGGTTCCTGCAGTTATCCGCCTTTGCAGTAAAATGTGAAGCAGTATGAACAAAGAATGGGACAGTCAGCGCATTGTGAACAGGTTTTTATTCCAGGCAGAAGACAGCTGGGGTGTAGTTTCACGCAGAAAATGGTGTGTATACAGAAAGGCAGAAATGTGTATGTACATTATTTCTCCGGATTTGAAAGAAGATTTGATTTTTCGCTTTTAGAAACTTTTATTATTGTGAAACTTCGTGTATGTGCATAAACCTGATTTTCATTCCCAATTTTTAGCAGCAAGTGGATACAGATATGTCTTTAACAGAGGTTAGCATATGAAAACATAGTTTGCACCACAGCGTGACATGAATATACATGATAAGGAAAATGGTTTAGAGGAATTATCTTAGTTTTTTACTCATCGGTGAAGCAGTGAAAATTAACTTGCTATATCAGTTGATGTAATCATGACTGAAGAAAAAAAGTAATAAAAAAATCAACACTGAAAGAAGTGAAGTCAAAGAAATGGGGTGACTAAAAGGCTTCTGCAGAATCTGAATCTGGGTTCTCTCATGAGAACCAAAGTTTAGGAGGCATTGGTGCACAGTGTTGTGAAGAAATCAGTGGCAAGAGATATTGTTAAACTGGCTGTCTTTTTACACAGCCTTTGTCTAACAGGAGAACAAAATTGTTACAGGAAATTAAAATATTTGTGTTATTTTTTACAGTTTTCATCTGCTCTTACAAAATGCTGTTATCCACAATTCCAATTATTTTTCTTAGTGAAACTGAAATAATGATAACAGACTAAATTATAAAAATTCTCTGACATACTAGTTTGGTGAAGTCAGTTTTTATGACAAATTATGTGTGAAGAATAAGTGCAATGTAGATTTTGAATTAATAGTTAATAGATTTGTGTGGAGGGAAAAGCATATAGTGGGGCGGCACGGTGGTGTGGTGGTTAGCACCCTCGCCTCCCAGCAAGAGGGTTCTGGGTTCGAATCCCGGGGGAACCAGGACCTTTCTGGGTGGAGTTTGCATGTTCTCCCTGTGTCTGCGTGGGTTCTCTCCGGGTTCTCCGGCTTCCTCCCACAGTCCAAAAACCTGCATGTTAGGCTGATTGGAGATTGGGGAAATTGCCCTTAGGAGTGAATGTAAATGTGAGTGTGAGTGGTTGTTTGTCCTTGTATGTCCTATGTGTGGCCCTGCGATGGACTGGCGGACTGTCCAGGGTGTACCCTGCCTCTCGCCCGTTGACCACTGGGATAGGCTCCAGTTCCCCCCCGCGACCCCATGAGGGAATAAGCGGTATTGATAATGGATGGATGGATGGATGGAAAAGCATATACATGTTATATTAATGTCGAGAAGAAATTAATTGTTAACATTAAAGTCCAGATATTTATTTCCTCATTAAACCCGTAAATCCCCTTATCGAACTCATTGAGTCTTTAACTGGACAACTTATGAATAACCACAATTCAAAGACAAAATTTAAACGTTGACCATATATTAGGACTGAAGAAAAAACTGCAGAAACAACTTAATTTTCCACTAAATTATCTCTTACCAACAATGGCTGATGTGTTTGAGACTGTTTACTTTATCATTTTAATTCTTAACACCATAAAATAAGCAAAATTTCAGCCAAGTCTGATCTGATAGATTTTGAATAAGAACATTCAAGCTAATATTTGCAAACACACATTTAACAGATTCTGCTCCCAACAGAGTTGTCATTTATCTGGTCAGTTTACACTCTTGAGAATCCTGTAATCTCCATGAGGACCGACTGACACTTGCAGATCGCCTCGGATTTGTGAGGAAATCAATACTGCAGCCTCTATGTGTTTGCTGCTGTGTGAGCCTGAACAGTTTGACTAATGACACTGGTTACAGAAGACGGTGATGGGCTCAAGTTGTCACTAACAGTTTTGCAATTTACTGGTTTCCAAATCTCTGCAGTCAATTCTTTGCTCAGCTTTAGTGGTATTTCGCATCTAATCAGTAACAACAACAAATCATGACGCCAATCAAGGTCTGAGTATAGCATATGTGGATTCCCAACGCACGATGATGGTGGCTGCACCCAGTTAATTAGCTGATAAATAATCTGTGTTTGGCTGCAGATAAAATCTTTGCATCACTATTTTATTGCTCTTACGTAGCATCTTGGCTGCTTCATGGCCATTCATGTGCACTAAGACATGTACTTCATCCTTGATAATGAAAAGTGTCTTCAGCTCTGTCTGGCTGTCACAGCCGTCTGCTGGCAGCCCCTAATGTAGTTATGGAGCCTCTCAAGATCTCCTAAATAATTTAGAGGTGGAGAGTATTCTCAAGACTTCATATTTACCCACAAGGCTTTACTCTAAATGTGAGATTGTATTTGTCAGTTCCATTGCCACTTTTTTTAAGAAAAAGTATTTTCTTGATGTTGATCTCCAGAAAAGCATAAAGTGTAGTTTTCTGTTAAACCATGTGTAATTGTGGATTTCTGCTGATCATTTTTTTGTCTTGTGACTTACACTCAACAGTAGTTTTTCAGAGAAGAAAAATCATCCTTGTACACATCTCCTGTTTATATGAATATTGATTGTTTTAAAAATAATTTTGTGACTGAATGCAAGAGGCATCCTGCAACAATTAAGTATTCAATAGACACAATAACTATTATTTCCCTCTCATATTGTTTCTGATTACTAAACACAATTCAAATATACCATCCAGTATTCCTTAGCCCATTAAAATTAATTGGACTAATCTAAGATTTCATCTGAAGCCATTATCTTACTAATATGTGCATCGGCATTAAATGTTATTTCCTCTTTCTTCCTCAGGATGGAGGTCGCAGGATTCCAGCTAAGTGCAGCAATTTGAGGATTAACGTCACACTTGGAAAAGAGAGACAGTGCTTTTGTTCACCATGTCACCTGCATACAAAGCCAAGCTGGGGACCTGGCTCCTAATGCTGTTTCTTTGTTGGACAGTACATGTTGGCATGCTTCAGTTTGCTGAGGCTACAATACAAGGGTACATCGGAGACATAGACATGACATGCCCCTCTGTATGCAGGTGTGATGAGGACTTCATCTACTGTAATGATCGCGGGCTGAGCGCCATCCCCTCACTGCCTCCTTCTGCATCTGTGCTTTACCTTCAAAACAACCACATAAACAACCCAGGCCTTCCCACCTCATTAGAGTACCACCTTTCTGTCCAAGTGGTCTACCTCTATGATAATGAGCTGGACGAATTTCCCATGCACCTGCCACCATCTGTGCGTGAACTGCATTTGCAGGACAACAACATCCGTACTATTCCTCGCAGTGCCCTGGCTCGGATGCCCTTGCTGGAAAAGCTCCACTTGGACGACAACTCGATTTCCACTGTCTCTATTGAGGATCAGGCCTTCGCTGACAACCCACGGCTACGCTTACTTTTCCTGTCGCGCAACCACCTATCCAGTATCCCATCAGGACTGCCTGCCTCTCTTGAAGAACTTCGTCTAGACGATAACCGGATCTCCACTATTCCGACTCATGCCTTCCGAGGTCTAACCTCGCTTAGATGTCTTGTTCTAGATGGTAACCTTTTGGCAAACCAGCGCATTGCTGATGACACATTCTCGAGGCTTTCCAACCTGACTGAGTTGTCTTTAGTCCGCAATTCCCTACAGACCCCACCTGTCAACCTGCCCAGTGCCCATTTACAGCGGCTCTCTCTACAGGACAATGCTCTGACTCATATGCCTCGCGGTTCCTTGGATGGCATGCACAGGTTACTGAGACTGGACTTGTCAGGCAATAACCTGACAACGCTTCCGAAGGGATTATTCAAAGACCTCGACAACCTTGGTCAGCTGCTGGTGCGTGGAAATCCTTGGCATTGTGGCTGCAATCTGCGCTGGCTGTATGACTGGTTGCGTGCCCGAGGTAACTCTATCACTGTCAGAGGTTTAACGTGCCATGGGCCTGACAGGGTGCGAGACATGGCTTTGATTGATCTGACCAGTGAAATGGAGGAATGTGAGATCCTAAGAATTGCTGGGACCAAAGACAAAATGGCTGTCACTGGAGCCGAAAGTTCTACCACCAACGCCCCCCCGCAGGGTTCTCTCTTCACGTTGCGCTCAAAGCGACCAGTCCTTGGTTTTCCTGACTCCGGCTTAGACTACACTCTCAGCAGCAGTGGTGTTGGAAAGAGCTTGGCTCTAAATGTGAAACCTCTGTCTCACAACAGCATCCGTGTTACATGGAGTGTGGCCCAGCCAAGCTCCTCATTCAGGTTGAGCTGGCTTCGACTTGGCACCGGAAACGCTATGGGATCTATCACAGAGACGCTCGTTCGGGGTGATCGTCGGGAGTACCTGCTTACCTCCCTGCAACCGCGCTCCAGCTACATTATCTGTATGGTGCCACTGCCCACCAGTTCAGAAAGCAAAGGGACTATTTCTGGAGATGCTGACTCGGAATCGTTAGTTTGTGCAAAAGCCGAAACATCAGACCTAACCCCATTAGAGGAGGAGGAGGATGAAAACTCCCATCAGATAACTGTGCTGCCTCTTGCAGGTATCATTGGTGGGGCTACTGCCACTGTATCTTTGGCTCTTATTTTTGGTGTGTTTTGCTGGTACGGACATAGAACTGGCCATTTGTGTGTCCGTGATCACTACACTCGCAGTGGTTCGAGGAAAAACAAAAACTATGATGATTGCATTGAGTCTGGCACCAAGAAGGACAATACCATCCTGGAGATTCGTGGCCCAGGTTTCCAGATGACGCCTATGGCAGCTTGCCAGCCAGTCCAGCCGAAACCTCTACGAGAGGATTACATCATCCACACCATATTCCCTTCAAATGGCACCGGCTTATACAAAGGTTCAAACAATGTTTCTAATGCTGGAGGACATGGCACCAACCGTGGCTATAGAGAAGGAGGAATCCCAGATATAGACTATTGTTACACATGATGTAATGCGCCAGATGCTGTTCATAGTGTAACTGGAAATCTGTATAGATGCACAATTTCCCTTGGCATGGACACATCTGAAGCACCCCTCTGTGCCTTCTTCTTCTGGTCTCCTGTTCCAAATGGCCTGTTGTTCACCACTCTGAAAGAACTGGATGTGGATAACTGGAACTAAAACTGTGTGGGAACAGTTCACTGCAGGACGCGGCGACCAATGCCCCAGGTGTAAATGCACAGCTGAGTGTTTCTCACCATCTTTGTAATGGTCTGTGTATGACTTCTTTCTTGCTCTTTCCCTGTGACATGAAGGCAAAGAATGTATCCTCATTGGAAAGGTCAAAGGCAGAGTTCCTCTTCTCACATGGGAGCCACGGCAGTTCGTTCCAAAATGCATTCAGTAATGAAGAAAAACAGACATTTTGGTACTCGTTTCCTCCTCACCAGTCACAGACAGTATGTAGTCTTAACTCATTGTTTAAAATGCCTCAACTATATTGTTATGCCCTGCCAGCTATCCAAGGAAAGGGCTTTGTAAAGCTGTGAATTGTTCTATTTCAAACAACCCAATAACCACTTGTCTTAAAGTAGGTTTGTTCTTACCTTATTAGATGGCAGGGTTAAGATCACATAAGGGCTGGTCAGCCTTGGTTATACCTCTTGAGATCGTCCACCTGAAATCAGTATTGCATTGTTGCATCAGATGAAGTGCAACTCAAGCGTGTAGATAATTTACTTCGATACCGACCGGGCTGTGTTTGAAAAACGCTTTGCTATTTTTATCAGTAGTTTGTTAAGTAATGAAATTCTGCACAGCTCCTATAATTTATTTATTTTTCCCTTTATGAGAAGTGTTTTATCTCTGCTGAAATGGCTTATTCTTATTTTTACCCTCTTGTTTGTCATTATTGATGAAATCCAGTTCTTGATGGAGACTGTGGCTTTGTCTTATCTGAACAACAAATGAAAAACATATTGATGGCTGTCTCCAGCTTTTGTTCAAAGCATCAAAGTCAATTTCTGATTGAGACTGCTTGTATTATTATGTAATTTTGAAATTAGATGTCACCCAGACTAGCATGTCAGCCCATTGAGACATTAGAGACGAACCTCAATCGCTTTTTTCCAATGTTGTGTCTGTATGCTTTACCTGTGATTTCAGCCGATTTCAGTCATTTGTGTGAGAAATGTTTCCCCCGAAGTTCTGAGAGACTGGCCAAATTGCTAAAGCGGAGCCTTCTGCTGGAGGCACACCCTCGCGAGTACGCTTCGAGACGAGGCCGAGAACTGTGAGAGCAACGGAGGAGACACAAACCGCAACACTGTTGACCTACACTGTGGGGCGGCGGCCGAGCTGTGTGGGTGTGTGGATGGACAGTTGGGGGAGGAAAGCTGGGAGGTGGGGTGACTCATCAGTGACTGGAGTTCATTGATGTTTGTTTTAGCAACGGAAAAGGCCTCCACTCATTCCACCTCTTTTATTACTGAGCAGCACTAAAAATGTAAATGTATTAGCACTTAGCAGGGAAGAGGAATAAATATAATGACAGGCACGGGGAGACAGAGAGTAAAGAGACATCCCCACGTACTGACAAAGATTACAGAATTGATGGCTCCTGCACAGTCGGGTTCACCCATGCATAAATCTGTTTGTCATACCCAGCTCTTACCCTTGGGTTTAATATTGTCCATCAGTTGTTTACCACTGTGTTGCTTCCAAAGGGGAAACCAATTGTGCTTCCTTGACTGTTCTGTCTGGCGGAGTTTAACACAAAGTCAGACATTAAGTCAGTGGAATGTATATTTTGACTTGCACCCAAAATTACTGGCCTAAACCAATCTGACTGTCCAGGCTATTTCTGTTTTGGGGGAATGTTAATATAGTGTTTTTCTTCTTTTCTAGTGGGTCTATTAAAGATGCGTACTTCCTCTTCATTTGTATAAAGAAAACCATGGCCACAGCCACATTAATATTTTTCTGGTGAAATTATAGAAAGTAATGGTGCCATAACGTTGCGTTTAAAAAAAAAATTATGTAAAACTGAGTATGTGTGGAATTTGCTCTATGAATTCATCTTCCGAGGGGATCAATAAAAGTTTTATAATCTTGTTATTACTGCAACCTGTCATTTCACCTCATGCCCAGGGAGACTGTCTATTTTCAGCTGTGGAATAATTGGTGGGGACAAATTCCTATTCTCATAAGCTGAATTTCATACAGAAACCAGAGCCGCATATTGTTTTTGTTTGATGAGGGCATAGAGTGGTGCCACAATAAAACTAATTACTGCCTGAAGCCAGATGCTCAGAGGCAGCTGGGACCATGAGATAGAGAACAGAGGGCTTCATGGTCATGGTCACACATGGTAGGAGCATGCTGATGACAAGGGGACAGTGCTTAGGTAGACGTGAATACACCAAAAATGCTTACAAAGGACCACAGAGATACCTTTGAGATCTAATGTTGGGCACTTTTGGAACTTGTCAGGGCCACATATGGCTAAACTCTTTAGGCAGTATCATGTGAGTGTGTCCATGGAAACACTGAAGAACCGCCAACTGTAGCTTAATTTAATACATAAGACCATGAACCTGAGTTAGCTGGAGTTGACCACTTATAACTTTCAATAAAAAAAAATGAGAGTGGGTTTTGGAGAATTGGAGAAATAAAATAAAAATTTGTTCAACCAAAAATGTGTTCCTTCCACCCCACAATATCTTGTGTTATCTGTGCATCACCTTAAAGGGAATTTGTGTTGTCTTTTCAGTACTTTATTAATTTCTTTTAAAAATACCAATAATTGACAGAACCACACTGTTTTCACTGTTTTCCAGTTGGGGGTTTTGATAGAGAATACATTGTGAGAACAGAGGAAATCATCTGAGTATTGGTTGTTATAATACTCATAAATTGATAATCATAAGTAACAGTCCCACATCTAAAATGATAATGAGCTGCACCTCCATCTATTACAACGCTGGGATATTTCATCCTGACATTTTCATCTTTGCATGCATTACAAAATGACGTAAATTTCCCCGTGTGGACATTTTTTATTGCATAATATGTAAATTAAGTTTAAGCAACAGGACTGGTCCAAAAACCAGTCAGTCAACTGTATGTTAATGCACAAGGATATGCATAGTTATCTTTTAATGGGGAAAAACAGATCACTGAAAGAGAAATTTGTTTTGTTTTTTCCCCTTATCAAGCACAACTTCATGTTCCAAACTGGACAAGATGCTTGTTTGTGTATTTAAAACAAAGCTCTTTAGATGGCATGACTTTGCAGCCCATCTGTTTAAACAGACTCTAATTGATTAGTTCCAGATTTGACTTTGAGATTATTACCGAAAGATCAGTTATCGTAAACAAAGCAATGTGGAAACTTTCTGTGTGCGTGATTATTTTAGTTTAGGCTACGCAGGATTCTGCAGTTTGTTCTTCGCAGATTTGTCAATGTTTTCACATAATAAGGGTCATTGAAGATCCATGTGGAAATGTATTCAAATGCCAAAGGTGGATTGCTGATATACAACACAGTGTGAGTGGATTACTCAACATGCCTGCTTGTTCCTGGGTTAAAGAGGACCTATTTTTACATGCAGCTTGGGGTGCCATGAGTCTAAATTAGCTCAGTTCCAAATGAATGACTCCATCAACACAGAAATTAGTCTTGACTGAACTGACATCTGACTTCCGTTGCAGGACTTTGTACATATTCAGGCGTCACTTAGCGCAGCATTTCAATCAAGCAGACACAGAGAGTGACTCAGTAACTGACAAAATGCGGCACCGTCCTTCTCCGTTGCACCCTGTTGTCAGAGTGGACGGGCAGATTTTGCCGTGCACTTCTAAATCAATACAAAATCCTGAAAGATCAAACGGGTCATCAACAAATTAGGCTTGGTAAATTAATCTCCAAGAAAATTGATTCCCTAATACAGTTGTCAGTGAAAACCTCAACCCCGTCTTGTACATGGGAATAAAACCTGTCAAAAACAATACATTCTACTTTGTAACTGAAGCAGGCCTGACGCGGTTTAATGGTGGCGAACAGGACAAAAAGCAAATCGTTTGCCTCGACCAGCCCTACCAAGATACAGATTCAACTTGTGCAGCATCGAAAACATCTACAGATGGGTTGTATTTAGCTGTGTGACAGTAAAGCATATTTGTACCAATGTTTTAATGTACAAAAGAAAACAATTTCTGCGTTTTCTTATATAACAATGGAGATGTGGTGGGCTCCCCACGCAGAGCTACAGAAACTTTACTGTACTGACCTCTCCTCCACATGCTGCTGGTGTGACTCAACCGGATACAAGATGATTCATTTCAGAGACAAAGGAAACCGAATTGGGAGAGGTTTAACTTCTATCTGGACAAAAATACAAAATGACATTAAGAAGTCAGAATCAGAAAATAGGGAATCATTTTAAAAGATAACCAGAAGCAGACTGATCAGATAGAATGGGTGTATTACAGCATAATTACCGATGGAAAAAAATGAAGGTATTACTAGTCTTAAATGGGAGAAGTTGACCTGAAATCTCCTGAACAACTGTTTACGGTTGATTTGACTGATGGGATGAAGAGGTGCTGCTTTTGGAAAAAAGAAAAAGGCAAAACAGTAGGTTATTATTGTTGTTTTTTTGTTGTTGTGCAGAAAAAATGCTCAAAAGATTAAACAAACAGAAGATTATCTCGAGCTTTGTCTATGGAGATTAGGAAATATATAAAATCAATGTGTAGAGATGAAATATTCAATTTGAGATTTTCTTGAAATGGTTGTTGAACCAAATTTATTTTTCTTTTGTAGCCTTTTTACTTGCCACCCTCATTGTCTGTATACAAGGCTTTGCTGGCAGCACTATACATGTATTGACTGTGAACAGCACAATTCCTCTTTTAAGCAGCTTGTATGCTCAGAGAAATAAATGAGCATCCTATTGTCGGGTGGATAACTGTTTTCTTGCTTCACTCTTGAGCATTTTCTGGTC